AGGCTCCAAAAAGCTGGATCATGCACTAGGGACAGGACCCAGTCCCACTGCCTGGGGGCCCCCTAAACAGCTCAAGCTAAACAACTGTTTCACTTATCCACAGGGTCTAGTCCAGTACTATGGGGGCTCCTCAACTATTGGTCCACAGTTCATATGTTTCCACTAGTTTGGCTAGTTGTCTCTGTACTTTTTCCAATCATTGTCTCCATATCTCTTGCTCACAGAATCCCTCCTCTCACTCATCGATTGGACTCCTGGAGCTCTGCCTGGGACCTGGCTGTTGATTTCTGCATCTGCTTCCTTCAGTCACTGGATGAGGGTTCTATGATGACAATTAGGGTATTCAGCCAGAGTAGGCCAGCTCAGGCACCCTTTCAACTATTGCCGGTAGTCTATGGTAGAGTCATCCTTGTGGATTCTTAGGAACCTCCCTAGCACTCTGCTTCTCCCTATTCCTATGGTGTCTTCATTTATCATGGTATCTCTTTCCATGCTCTCCAACTCTGTTCCCTTTCCAGCTCAAACCTCCCACTCCTCTAAGCTCTCATCCCCTGTCACTTGCCCTCCATTATCCCCCTCACCCCCAGTTTGCTGATGTAGATCTCATCCATTTCTCCATTGTTGGGTAATGCCATTCCTAGACTCCACCTTACTAGCTAGCCTCCCTGGAGCTGTGGCTTACAGTCTGGTCATCCTTTGCTTTGTATTTATTATCCACTTATGAGTGAGTAAATACCATATTTCTCCTTCTGAGTCTGGGTTACCTCACTCAGGATGGTATTTTCTAGTTCCATCCATTTGGCTGAAAACCTCATGATGTCGCTGTTTTTTCTGCTGAGTAGTACTCCATTGTGCATATACACATTTTCTTTATCGATTCTTCAGTTGAGGGGCATCTAGGTTGTTTCCAGGTTCTGGCTATTACAAATAATGCTGCTATGAATATAGTTGAACATGTGTCCTTGAGGTATGATTGAGCATTCCTTGGATATATGCCCAAGAGTGGTGTAGCTGGGTCTTGAGAGAGATTGATTCACAATTGTCTGAGAAACCACCATACTGATTTCCAAAGTGTCTGTACAAGTTTGCATTCCCACCAACAGTAGAGGAGTGTTCCCCTTGATCCACATCCTCTCCAACATAAGCTGTCATCAGTGTATTTTATCTTAGCCATTCTGACAAGTGTAAGATGGTATCTCAGAGTTGTTTTAATTTGCATTTCCCTGATGACTAAGGATGTTGAGCAATTCCTTAAATGTCTTTCAGCCATTTGAGATTCTTCTGTTGAGAATTCTCTGTTTAGCTCTACAGCCCAATTTTAATTGTACTTTTAGGTGTTTTAAACTCTAGTTTCTTGAGATCTTTATATATTTTAGCAATAAGCCCTCTGTCAGATGTGGATGGTTCAACATAAGAAAATCTGTCAAAGTAATACATCATATAAACAAACTGAAAGAAAAAACATGATCATTTCATTAGATGCTGAAAAGGCCTTTGACAAAATCCAACACCCCTTCATGATAAAGGTCCTAGAGAGATCAGGAATATAAGGAACATACCTAAACATAATAAAGGCAATTTACAGCAAGCCAACAGCCGACATCAAATTAAATGGAGAGAAACTCAAAGCAATTCCACTAAAATCAGGAACAAAACAAGGCTGCCCACTCTCCCCATATGTATTCAATACAGTACTTGAAGTTCTAGCTAAAGCAATAAGACAACAAAAGGAGATCAAATGAATAGAAATTGGAAAGGAAGAAGTCAAACTTTCACTATTTGCAGATGATATGATAGTGTACATAAGTGACCCCAAAATTTCTACCAGAGAACTCCTACAGCTGATAAACTCCTTCAGTAAGGTGGCAGGATACAAGATTAACTAAAAAAATCAGTAGCCCTCCTATATACAAATGATAAAAGGGCTGAGAAAGAAATCAGAAAAATATCACGCTTTACAATAGCCACAAAAAATATAAAATATCTTGTGATAACTCTAACTAAGCAAGTGAAGGACCTGTATGACAAGAACTTTAAGTCTCTGAAGAAAGAAATTGAAGAAGATATCATAAAATGGAAAGATCTCCCATGCTCATGGATAGGTAGGATTAACAGTAAAAATGGCAATCTTACCAAAAACAATCTACAGATTCAATGCAATCCCCATCAAAATACCAACACAATTCTGCACACACTTTGAAAGAACAATACTCAACTTCTTATGGAAAAACAAAAAACCCAGGATAGCTAAAAAGAATCTTGTACAACAAAGCAACTTCTGGAGGCATCACGATCCCTGACTTCAAGCTCTATTATAGAACTACAGCAATAAAAACAGCTTGGTATTGGCATAAAAACCAACATGTGGAACAATGGAATAGAATTGAACACCCTGACATTATTCCACACAGGCATGAACACCTAATTTTTGACAAAGAAGCCAAAACTCTACAATGGAAAAAAGAAAGCATCTTCAACAAATGGTGCTGGTATAACTGGATGTCAACATGTAAAAGAATGCAAATAGATCCATATCTGTCACCAGGCACAAAACAAGTCCAAGTGGATCAAAGACCTCAATACAAATTCAGTTACTCTGAAACTGATAAAAGAGAAAGTAGGAAGTAGTCATGAATGCATTGGCATAGGAGACCACTTCGTAAATATAACGCCAGTAATGCAGACACTGAGAACAACAATTAATAAATAGGACCTCTTGAAACTGAGAAGCTTTTGTAGGGCAAAGGACATGGTCAATAAGTCAAAATGACAGCCTACAGAATGGGAAAATATCTTCACAATTTTCTAGATAGGTACCACATGCCAAAATTAAATGAAGACCAGATAAACAATAGACTAATGACTACTATGGAAATAGAAGCAGTCATTAAAAGTCATTAAAAGTCTCCCAACCAAAAAAAGCCCCAGGCCAAAGGATTTCAGCACATAATTCTACCAGAATTGAAAAAAGGAGTGCTAACAACAATATTCCTCAAATTTTTCCACATAATAGAAACAGAAGAAACATTGCCAAACTCTTACTATAAGGCTACAGTTACCTTGATACTCAAATCACACAAAGATGCAACAAAGAGAATTACAGACCAATCTCTCTCATGAACATTGATGCAAAAATACTCAACAAAATACTGGCAAATGGAATCTAAGATCACATAAAAAAATCGTGAGCAAGTAGGCTGGTTCCTGGAGATGCACGGATGGTTCAACATATGAAAATCTGTCATTGTAATTCATCATATAAACAAACTGAAAGAAAAAAAAACACCTGACCATTTCATTAGATGCTGAAAAGGCCTTTGACAAAATCCAACACCCCTTCATGATAAAGGTCTTGGAATGATCAGGAATACAGGGAACATACCTAAACATTATAAAGGCAATTTACAGCAAGCCAACAGCCAACATCAAACTAAATGGAGAAAGACTCAGTGATTCCACTAAAATCAGGAACAAGACAAGGCTGTCCACTCTCACCATATTTATTCAATATAGAACTCAAAGTTCTAGCTAGAGCAATAAGACAAAAAATGGAGATCAAGGGGATAGAAACTGCAAAGGAAGAAGTCATAATTTCACTATTTGCTGAGAATATAAAAATCTGCATATGTGTTCTGCAAAATTCTTCCAGGGAAATCCTAAAACTGATTGACACCTTCAGTAATGTGGCATGATGATTAACTTAAAAAATCAGTAGCCCTCCTGTATACAAATGGGCTGAGAAAGAAATCACAGAAACATCACCTTTTACAATAGCCACAAATAATATAAAATACCTTGGGGTAACCCTAAACAAACAAGTAAAAGACCTGTGTGACAAGAACTTTAAATCCTTGAAGAAAGAATTTGATGAAGATATCAGAAAATGGGAAGTTCTCCCATGTTCGTGGGTAGGTAGAACCAACATAATAAAAATGGCAATCTTACCAAAAGCAATCTATGGATTCAGTGCATTCCCCATAAAAATAGCTACACAATTCTTCACAGAACTTGAACAAAGAATACTCAGCTTCATATAGAAAAACAGAAAACCTAGCATATCTTAAACATTTGGTTACAATAAAGTAACTTCTCGAGGCATCACCATCCCTAACTTCAAGCTCTACTATAAAGGTATAGTAATAAAAACAGCTTGGTATTGGCATTAAAAACTGACAGGTGGACCAACAGAATCGAATTGAAGGTCCTGACATTTATCTACACACCTCTGTACACCTGATTTTTGACAAAGAAGCCAAAACTGTACAATGGAAAAAAGAAAGCATCTTCAACAAATGGTGCTGGCATAACTGGATGTTTACATGTAGAGGATTCCAAATATATCCATATCTATCACCATGCACAAAACTCAAATCCAAGTGGATCAAAGACCTGAATGTAAATACAGTTACACTGAACCTGATAGAGGAAAAAGTAGGAAGTAACCTTGAAAGCATTGGCATAGCAGACCACTTCCTAAATAAAACATCAGTAGCATAGACACTGAGAGCAACAATTAATAAATGGGACCTCCTCAAACTAAGAAGTTTCTGTAAGGCAAAGGACACAGTAAATAAGACAAAACATCATCCTACAAAATGGAAAAATAACTTCACCAACCCCATATCTGACATAGGGCTGATCTTCAAAATATATAAAGAACTCAAGAACCTAGACATCAAAATACCAAACACTCCAGTTAAATAATGTGCTACAGAGCTAAATGGAGAATTCTCAATAGAAGAATCTCAAATAGCTGAAAGACATTTAAGGAACTGCTTAATATCCTTAGTCATCAGGGAAATGCAAATCAAAACTGCTCTGAGACATCATCTTACACCTGTCAGAATGGCTAAGTTAAAAAACACTGATGACAGCTTATGTTGGATAGGGTGTGGAACAAGGGGTACACTCCTCCACTGCTAGTCAGAACGCAAAGTTATACAACCACTTTAGAAATCAGTGTGGTGGTTTCTCAGACAATTGTGAATCAATCTACCTCAATACCCAATGATACCACTCTTGGGTATATACCCAATGGATGCTCAATCATACCACAAGGATAATCATTACTACAACCCATACCTCCAGAGAAGCTAGGAAGCAAGGAGGTTCCTAAGAGGTATGTACTGATCACCTTGGGAGGGGGGAAACAGAGAAGATCCTCATGAGTAAACTGAGGATGAGGGGTAGAGCAATAGAGGGGAGGGGGTGGGGGATGAGAACATAAGGTAAGGGGGTGGTTGAGCTGGGGAAGGGATGGATTGGGAGAGCAATGAAAGAGATATCTTGATAGAGGGAGACATTATGGGGTAAAGGAGAAACCAGTTGCTAGGCAAATTCCCAGGAATCCAAAAGGACAACCCCAAATTAGACTACTAGTAATAGTGGTGAGGATGCCTGAACTGCCCTACCCTGATAATCAGATTGGTGAATACCCTAACTGTCATCATAGAGCCTTCATCCAGTAACTGATGGAAGCAGATGCAGAGACACCCACAAATAAACACCAGGCCAAGCTCTGGAAGTCCAGTCAAGGAAAGGGAGCAGGGATTACATGAGCAAAAGGGGTATAGCTGGATGGTTCTTAGGTCCCGCCAGGCCCCCACAGTCCCATGGCCCACTTAGAGAATAATCACTCAGAAGCTTAAATTAATTATAACTACTTGGGCATTAGCTCAGTATTACTACTGACTAGCGCTTACACTTAAATTAAGCCATAATTCTTATTTATCTTTAGCCATGTGGCTTGGTACCTTTTCTCAATTCTGCCTTCTCATCTTGTTTCCTCTGTGTCTACCTGGCAACTCCTGAGTCAACCTTCTTCTTCTCAGAATTCTCCTTGTCTGCTTAACCCGCCTATACTTCCTGCTTGGCTACTGGCCAATCAGTGTTTTATTTATCAACCAATCAGAGCAACACATATTCGCAGCATACAGAACAACCTTCCACAACACTTCCACATTTCTGTCTAATCAAAAAGGAAGGTTTTAACTTTAACATAGTAAAATTATATATAATAGAACAGTTTCAAGCAAGAATTACAGTTACAATATCTTGTCTATTTATATTTGTCAAAATTAAATTAAATATTCTATCTATCCTATAATAGTGAGTCTAAAGTTTCATATCTAATTTAACTTTTATTATAACCAAGGAAAATTATAACTATCTAGTCTTCAACTACATCAAAGACCTCAGAAGGATATAACATTACCTAAGTAAACAGTGTATTGTAAGCAACTTCCAAAAATCTAGAATAAAAGAGACAGCTGGCTGTCTGACAGTCACCCAAAGTTCGTCTTCAGAGTTGGAGCATTCATCTTTAGCCTATAGGTCTTGAGTTTTTAATTGCTTCTCCGTATGTCCTATAGAATATCTGGCAGTCTCCTCTGTGAAGCAGGAACCTGAAGGATGATCTCATCTTGCAAAGTTTGGTGGTCACCTTCCTATGGGTCCTGCATGTCCAGTTGATATGACATTTTGTCAAGCATCCAGCAAAGAACAGTTTCTTGCCCAAATGGCTTTTTTTTTTTTACCAAGAAGAAGATATACTCCATATAGAGTGTCTTCAAAGCCCCATCTTTCTCTTTGAAGTAAATTGGTGATGCCAGGAGCAGATGTGCCTCACTGTCCAGAAAGTCTAAGTTTTTAAAACATTTTAAATGTCATATTCTGTAGGTCTTTGAAGTGTTTGAAGATTACCTACCCAATTGAAATGTCTATATATACCTAGAAAACTTAATTAACATAACTACAAGTTTGATTATCATAGCTGACCAATTATTAATCTGTATTTCTCAACTATATGCTACAATCTTAAATAAATTGCACAAACAAAATACTTTAAACAAGAGTAGAAATATACATACAGTATAACAAAATTAACTTTAAATTTGCATCAATAAATTAAAATCCATAGCAATGTAAAACATTTTAAGCAAGTTGTTCCTCTTTAAAAGTAGATTGATGCCGGGCGGTGGTGGCGCACACCTTTAATCCCAGCACTCGGGAGGCAGAGCCAGGCGGATCTCTATGAGTTCGAGGCCGGCCTGGGCTACCAAGTGAGTTCCAGGAAAAGGCGCAAAGCTACACAGAGAAACCCTGTCTTGAAAAACCAAAAAAAAAAAGTAGATTGATTAATGTATCCTTTTATCCTATCATATCTATAGCCTATATTTCTATATCATATCACCCTTTCTTTTTTTTTTTTTTCAGAAAGAGATTGACTATGACCAACAACAATTTGTAATCAAGAAACTAAGCAAAGACAAACATCCATAATCCAATTTTGGGAATGTGGGCATAGTGTTCTGGGCGACTTTCTGCTGACAGGGGGTGCTGGTAGTCTCATTGGGATCCTGAGAAAATTCAAGATAATGTTCAAGTTCTGGGAAGACCAGCTATAATCTTTGTTGATAGGTATCATCTGTTAAAGTTCAGGAGGTCTGGCTTGATCAAATCTGATCCATCTTAACCTGGAAAAAATCCGTAGTCTCTTGCTTCCTGGGGAAACAGAAGCAGAGCCTCCTTTCCAAAGCAACATATCCTTAGATCCAAATTTTGAAGTCAAGATACCTTTAAAATATACATATTGGTTTAACTGAGCAGCCTTTGTAATTAAATGTCTTTCTGCAGTTAAAAATCCTGAAGACAATATAATCCAGACTCTCTGTGTGATTGCCATCTTTACATGGCTTATTTTTTATATTACTTTTATTTTCTCTTTAAAGACTTTATTATTTTAAACTATTTCTTTATAAAACTGTCTATATTCATTTTCTTTTCTCTTCCAAGCCTTCATACATTTTTACATACATTGTAAACAGTTTAGAGTTTTATTTTATTTGAATCTGTCTTATTGTGAATCTATAATCTTTCTCTGACTAGGAGAGATTTTTAAATTGTTGAACTGTGTGGCCTTGGCTGCTGACTCCACCCACCTCAACTTCCCAATATGGTGGCAGTAATTTTCAGCCAGCCCTGGACATCATGCTCTCTGCTGACTCTGGGAGGTAGTGGGTCCATGCCTCCATCCAGCAGCATGTAGTCCAGAAACCTCTTTTTTGTATTAGCAAAAGCTAAATCTGTCACACAGCATACTGTGTGACTTGGAGATGCCTCTGTGTACTGTGGCAGGAATCCGTCATGCTGTGTTTTAGCCTGCATACCACAAACCCACCACACTGTAGCTCAAGTCTGCATGCCATGGCATCTCTGTACCTTGGCATGTCTATATCTCAGCTTGTATGAGACATGAAGTAGAAAGCTGTTTTGGCTCTGTTGTTGTGTGTTTAAAAGCACTTTTTAAATTCTTTTAGGCCTTATGGAAATTGTAGAGCCCCACATTGGGTGTCAATTGTAGTTTGATGGTTCTCGGGTCCCACCAGACCCCCACAGTCTCATGATGCACTTATAGAATAATCACTCAGAAGCTTATATTAATTATAACTGCTTGGCCATTAGCTCAGGATTATTACTGACTAGCTCTTACACTTAAATTTACCCATAATTCTTATTTCTGATTAGCCACATGGTTTTAGTGACTCCTAAGCCTTCCTCTTCCCAGAATTATCCTCATCTGCTTACCCTGCCTATACTTCCTGCCTGGCTACTGCCAATTAGTATTTTATTTATCAACCAATCAGAGCAACACATTCACAGCATATAGAATGACATTTCACATTTAAGCGGTCAAGATTGTGATGGAGAAATCTACAGAGACAACTGAACCAAGCTCAAAGTAACTCACAAACTTTAGACCAATAGCTGCTGAACCTGCATGGGACCAGACTAGACCCTCTGCATAAGGAGACAGTTGTGTAACTGAGTCTGTTTGAGGGGCCCCTGGCAGTGTGGTCAGGATCTGGTGCATGAGCTGGCTTTCTAGATTCCATTACCTATGGTAAGAGACCTTGCTCACCCTTGATGCAGTGGGTGGGGGTTGTTCCTGCCTCAACTGAATGTACCAGGCTTAGCTGTCCCCCCATGGGAGAACTTACCCTGTTGGAGGAGGGGAGGAGGGGTCAATCAGATGGGGGCAAGGTGGGGTTAGGGAGGAGCAGGAGGAGGAATAAGAGGGGGATCTGTGGTTGATATGTAAAATGAATAAAAAAATTTAAATGTAAAACCATGACTTCTAATCATATTCATAGGTCAGTGCCTTGTTCAGTTTTCATAAGAGAAACTGTATCCTGCAGCAGATGGTAATAAATATAGAGACTCACACCTAGACATTAGGGAGAGAGAGAGAGAGAGAGAGAGAGAGAGAGAGAGAGAGAGAGAGAGAGAGAGACAGAGACAGAGAGACAGAGAGAGAGACAGAGAGACAGAGAGACAGAGAGAGACCTTTAACACACAGCCATAAATAGAATGTCTCCACCAAATCCCCCCTCTTAGAGCTCATTGTACCCTGTGGAATAGGAGGCAGAAAGAGTGTAAGAGCTAGATGGGAATTGAGGACACTAAGGAAACAAGGCTTCTAAATAAACATGGTCAAAGCTTCTATGAACTCACAGAAACTGAAGCAGCATGCACAAGGCCTGCACAGGTTTGTACCAGGTCCTCTGCATATATATTATGGCTTCCAGCTGAGTGATGGTATGACATTGCTGAGTGTGTGAAGGAGTGGGTATCTGATTCTTATGCTTTCTCTTGGCTCCTTTTCTTCCTGTTGGTTTGTCTTATCCAACTTCAATGTGATAGTTTTGGTTTTATACTATTAAATTTATTTTGTTATATTAAAAATGAGTGGATGTGTGAATGAATGTAGAGCTAGCCACCAGTGCAAAAGCTAACAATTGAGCTGACACTTATACCAGCAGAGAGGGAAAATCAGTTTTCACCAATAGAGAGACACAGGGTATATCAATCATTCTAGGACAGACATCATGTTTAAAAGTAGTTGACCAACATTTAATGGACTCCATGGTTTTTTAACTGCTTTTATTTAGTTACAATTTGGTGTGGGTTTTTTTTTTTTGGAGTGGTCTTTTATTTTGTTTTCTTGGGTTTGGAGGGTTTTGTTGTATTGGGATTTTTGTATCTTGAGAAAGAACTTAAAGTTGGCTGGGTAGTGAGTGGGAGAGTTTCTGGAAGGATGAAAAGTAAGGGAAGAATATG